TTGTCATGTCAGCCGTTGGTCTCCCGATTTAGGTCCCTCTACCCCTGTTCACTCCTATTTTCGAGAAAAATGCCTTGACGAATTTCCCTTGTCTAGTTGTTTCAGCAGAGCGATCTGCGTAAGGAACGTACCCACTTTACCCGTAATTACAGGGTTACCTCTTACAGATTCAGTAACCGCTTCAAAGAATTATTTAATTGGTATGCTCCGACCGACTCGAGGTTCTTAAAATCATCCTGTATATAGTTCTAAGGCAATCTCGCCAGTATTACACGCCCTCTTCAAAGTTTTAAGATCACAGAGGATAAATCCGGCCATTCTACTAGTACCGGAGAAAATTAGAACGCAATTCTTCAAAATACTGGAGTATTTGCGTTGGGAAAGTGACCAGATTTTCAATAGCCCAGACAACTCAATGCTGCAACAATCAATGTTGGACTTAGGATGACATAGTTGCCAACTTTTGTAACTAAACATTAATACAACAGAAAAATGAAGGTAAACATTCTGTAGGGGGACTTTCATCACTAGAACTGTGAGGAATCACTTAGAGGCTGATAGAGTTTTCCTTCAGGAATGTTACGGAAGACAGTGTGCTAGGCTGAAAATTTCAGTTTATTTAGTAAGGATGGTAGAGAAGGCCTTTGAAAACCCTATTGATTACATGCCAGTATGGTAAATACAACTGCACACGAATAATCAAAATCACTGCTATTAAAAGAGTACCTGCATAATTTAAGTAGCATTGTTTCAAAAGAAAAACATTCTGCGGTGAACGGGACATTGGACTCAGATTCACGCAACCAAGAGAAAACAGGGGACACCGATACGCATCTAAGCGCTTCTTTAAGAGCTCCAGGGATCCCGCCTCCACAACTGATTGAGGGAGATCAGTCTCCTTCTCCACTACTCTTTGTGTGAAAAATTTAGAGCGAAGGTTAAGCCTGGACATTTGGGTGCGTGGCTTCATCGAGTGGCCACAAAGATTGGGCGAAAGGTCCCACTGAAACACGTCCTCAGAGCTCCGTTCATGTTCAAGACCATGTATTATCTTGTAAATAAGGATAAGATCACCTCTTTACTGCCCATAACACAGAGGGAATAAACTAAGGCAGTTCAGTCTTTCCTTGTAAGATTGGATTTTTAAGCCTTTTACCAGCTTTGTTCCACGGCGTTGTACGTTTGGAGCCATTGTCGGTCCTTTGCTGGCCATGCCCGTCAGGCTTTGAGCTCGAACAAAAGTGCTGTAAACGCTCCCAAGTAAGTTTTTGTCAATAGTTACAAACCCCCTTTTGGTCTCATGAATTACTTCCATGGCGTTTTTGCAGCCTTTGTGCACTGCAGTGCTGGTGTCATGTTGCTCTCAATTCAAACATCAAGACCATGCTGTGAAGATACCGCGGAAAGAGTAACATCTTTCAGATGATATGCCTTTGTGTTGTCATTTGAATGACAGCTGGTTGGAGACAGATACAGAATGGCACACTTCTGCATGTTTAAGTCCAGAAGCCATTTCTCGGACCACATTTGCAGTCGGTGCAGACTATCTTGAAGGGGTTTCTAGTCATTGGAGCTCTTAATGACTTGTCGTCAACAAAAATTATTTTACTGCAGACAGGTTCCCAAGGGATGAAGATTAAGGGTCTGAGAACTGAGTCTTGAGGCACACCGCTAGTCACATTTACTCAGTCCGGCGTAATGTCTTTGATAGAGGCACGTTGTTTTATACCAACCAGAAACGTCCTTATCGGTCTCAGATACCCTCCCGGATGACAAGGGCGCTCAGATCATGAAGAAGGCGTTGGGGTGTGACAGTGTCGAATGCTTTTCGAAAACTGATGTACACAACATCGAGCTCGAAACTCTTTTCTAAAGCCCTGGTTCAGATCTCAAGACTAGTTAGCAGATTGGAGACGCAAGAACATCCTTTCCGGAATCCACGCTATAAATCCTGCAAAATCTTGCTTTCTTTACAACATTGCAAGATCTTATTACAAGAGCTTGCCTCGTCTTGAGTGAGAGGCAAGTCAAGCTTATACCTTGTCTGTATCTTTCACTGGCACGTGATTTTTCCTTGTGTTGGTTCTCAACATTCTCAGATAACATGGTATATGTAAAGCGGCTAGGATGTTTTCCTAATTAATCTTGTGAGCACATTCTCTTCACAAGAACGAGATTATGTCAGTAACTGTTTTACGACGGTTTTTGAAATTTGAATGGTATCATTATGGAAATGAGAAGAAAATAATGAGGAATGTTTTCAGCTGAAACATGTTTGTGTAGTTATCTTGTTTATTTCTCATATGAACGTTTTATGTTCATGTCCTCGTGTTTTTCTAGTGGCCGGTGCCATCAAATCGGTCTCGGTTCAAGTTCTGTATTTAAAAGGAGACTTTGAAAGCATCCTATCGTGTTCAAAAATATCTAAATGTTGCAATTCGCAAGCCAATTTTGGTTTTGACCTTAACTGCTTCCAAATGTTGACTTTTCCAAATATTCCATTTTCGAATGGCATCCCACGTAGTTGCATATCTTGTAGAAATAGCTTGACCACTGTGGTTTTTTCGAATTCGGGAAGTCTTGCAGTATCTTCGTTATTCCAAGTGTTATGACCTGTTATGATTTGTTGACAAATCCCTTTGAGTATGTCGTGGTCATGCGGGACTGTGAATAAGAAAGTGAGACCATCACATAATTTCATGGTTCAGAATGGTTGATGACTCTTTAGCGGGAAACTCAATCGATATATCGGTCCCCCGCCAAGACTAAGTAGAGAAAAACCAAACAAAACGGCCGCCCAGAGAAGAACAAAGGCAATGAGTGAAAAGTCAGCTGGTCACACCAAAACTAACACCAGTTGGAGTGTGCGCTTAACCGTTACATAAGCACCAACTTTAACTGTAGCGGACAGCCATAATGGCTACGTCGCGCCTCTTGGTAGCGCCTGCACCTACGTTCTAGCGACAGCCTGCTATGGCACGCATGCCTGCCCGGCTTCCATTTGTCTCGTTGCAATTCACTGTCTGCAATACGCGTTCGGTCAATTATCTGCCCACACTACGCGAAGCTTGTCACCACCTTCGCGTGGGCTCGGAGCCAATCAACGTAACTCCTATCGCTTATTGTAAAACATGCGGGAACAATAGAGTAAACAATCTGCAGCGACACTTTTGCAGCGCCGACCTTCGGCGACACAGGGCTCGTCGCTCTCTCAGACGCCGCCTCCGCGGCATCGAACGCATCCTCGTGCGGTTGCCAACTTTTTCCCTTCACTATTCTGTATCGAATAAAGTGACCTAACCAAATGGCGTCCTGCTTCCAACAACTTTGTATATGGCCTGAAGTTGTGGCGTACTGAGCGTACACCATCACCGCTTAGCTGCTACATAACAAAAGTAAAAAAGGGCGAGTCTAACAAATGCTTAGCAAGTAGAACAACTCCAAAAGGCGGTGTATAACCAAAAATATGACAAAGGGTTACCACAACTCTGTTTGCTGTTTGAGCTATTGACGTCAGTGCCTTAAGCTTAAGTTCAGTCCAGTGTATGTAAAGGGGGATTTAAGTTAGCGTCTTTGAACTCCTCGTTTGTCGCAAATGACGAAAATGTATAGAAAAGTCAGCAAATGGAATATCAAACGAGTACGGAGGAAATGTCGAAATTTAACGGGCAGACGAGCGACTTCAGGTATTTGCAACATTGGCATATACAGGCTGGCTAGTTCGTAGAACGTTAGGCTACTTAAACACAGGTGTGTAACAAATTAGTACAATGCTGACTGTCTCGAATGTCAGTATAAATTTCAGCAACTAGTTACAGTGAGCTGCAGAGAGCAAGAAAATCTCATCAGCGACTGTTGCCAAAATGTTATATATCATTATATTGTTCAGTTCAGTTCAGTTTATTAAGAGAAACAAAGGCGAGCGCCTTTGAACTCCTTACTGGTTACAAGTCGTCGGAGAAAAATATTGATAAGTAGGAAGGTGAAAAAGGGTTTTTGTACATAATCGCCGACAGCTGGTCGAAAAATAGCAATCAATAATGGTTACTTACTACGTGCAAGTAGTATAAACACATTTGAGTTGTGTCGGTTATGTGAGTGGATGTGAGGCTGGTTATTGGGAAGCTTGATACGCGTCAAGTCTACACTTAAAGGAATTCACACAGGAGGAGGTTTCAACATCGGTAGGCAGGGCATTCCACGTTGCAACCACTCTGTGACTCAAAAAGAACTTTCTTCCGTTGATCCTTGCTTTCCCGGCGCGTAGTTTTAGGGGATGACCGCGCAAAGTGGGCGTGTTAGCTTGTGTGAAATAATCAGTGGGATCTAAACAGCAGTCCAGGCCGTTGATAATGCGAAATGTTAGTATAAGGTCACCACGCAATTGCCTGTAGGAAAGTGGAAACAGGTTGAAAGTTGACAGTCGGGTTTCGTAAGGCAGCACTCCCAGACCTTGTGTCATTTTGGTCGCCCGTGTCTGGACCTTCTCCAAAACGGTATAGTCCTTGGCGGTCCAAGGTTTCCACGCCTGTATGGCGTATTCTAGATGAGGCCGCATGTAAGTGCCAAATATTTTGGAAAAGCAGTCTGTGTCAAATCCCATAAATGCTCGCTTAATGAGTTGCAGGGAGCCATTGCTGATTTAGCAGCCTTCGCGCAGTGCAGTATTGGTTTGAGTGAAGATGTAATCCATACACCCAAGTCCTTCTGACTGTCAACCTGTTGCAGTGGTGTGCCGTGTAGAAAGTAAGTCCTGGGGCTGGAGGCTCTGAAGCTGCCTAGTTGAAGAAAGTTGCACTTCCTTATATTGAAGGCCATTAGCCAGCACTTCGACCAGTCTTCGAGCCTGTTCAAGTTTGCTTGCAGGTGATCTGCGTCTGCCGCATTGGGAATAACTTTCCACAATTTATGTCGTCGGCAAACAGGAGGGTATCACAGTCCAGGTCCTTGACGCAGTCATGTATGAAAACGAGAAATAACGTGGGACTTAAGACTGAGTCCTATGGGACGACACTCACCACGCTAACCTCCGAGGACTGTTGACGCCCGACCTGCACTCTTTGGGACCGTCCAGCCAAAAAGCTCTGGATCCATACAGGAAGGCGTCTACGAATGCCAGCATTGCGCAGTTTGTGCAAGAGACGTTGGTGGGAAACGCTGTCGAAGGCCTTTTTGAAGTCGATGTCGTTGGCGTGCACCACATTGCCTTCATCGCGTGCTTTGGTCCAGCGTTCGAGCGTAAAGAGCAGATTCGTGAGGCAGGACCGACCACTTTGAAAGCCGTTTTGTGCATCAGAAAGGAGGTGGTACTGCTCGAGTAACTGTATCAAGGCCTTCTTAATGATTATCTCCATGATTTTGCAACAGAGGGAGGTAAGACTCACTGGCCTGTAGTTATTCGCAGATGCACGACTTCCGCCCTTAAAAAGCGGAGTGATGGTAGCGGACTTCCAGTCAGAGGGCAGGCATCCGGTAGGAAGTGACGTTTGGAAGATCAAGGCTAATGGCTTGGACATTTCGGGAGCTAGCTACTTTAGCAGCTTGGCGGGGATTGCATCAGGGCCTGGGGAGGTCGATTCTTTCAGATTAAGTAACTCATTCCGGACAATTGCTTCGGTGAAGAATACGGCTTCAAGGGTAGGCTGTTCTCCGTCTTCACAAATGGGGGAGAGAAAATCAGATTCACTTGTCACTACGAACCGGAAGAACTGAGAGAGGTGTTCAGCCTTATCCTTGTCATCGGAGATTTCCATTCCCTCGGCTGTTCGCAGCAGTGGGATGGGATCCTTGTTCCGCGTGCTTTGTCTTTTGTAGCTGTAAAAGACTTTGGGATTAACCATAGCACGGTTCAAAAGATCCTTTTCAAAGGCTTTCCGATCTCTGGAGATGAGCATTTTGACCCAATTTCTCTGTAACTTGTAACTGCTTAGAGATTCTGGCGTCCGGTCAGTCAGGAATCTTTTCTACAGCTTCCTCTTTCTGTTAACTTTCTTCTTTAAGGAAGGAGTCAGCCAGCGGGGTCTATTTGTTAGTCTTCTGCGCATGATTGGGTAGTGATTGGAGATGAGGTTGTGGACTAACTCTTTGAACTGACACCAGTCCTCTTCGACATCGCCGGAGAGAGTGGATGCCCAATCGATAGGGCTAAGATCCTTTCTCATCTGTTCGAAATCTCAGCGCCAAATATTGGGTCGGGAATCGAGCGGTTGTGCAGGCAGGGAAAATAAGGTGTCTTCCCACATGAGAACTACATGGTCACACTGACCCGACGGAAGGAGGCAAATCCTAACGTCGATGTTGTCAGAGGATGTCGATGTTATCAGAGGACTTGTATTAATAATTATGTTATTAGTATTAGTATTAGTATTAGTTATTAGTATTCTTAAGACGAGGCGCGATGATGCGGTCGGCCGGATGAAACTATGGTGTGTAATACTATATTCACTCAGCTTTCTCGTATAAGCTCCTACTGGTTTGGACACGATGACATCCACAGGGAGATCATTCAAGCTCAAACCGCTCAGCTGGAGAATGGCTTTTGTGTGTCCAGCCTGGCCCCAGTTACACATAGTCTGAGTGGATATCTCCACAGGTTCGTTGTGGTTGCTAACTCGAGGATGTCTCCAGGTACAAGACATCGCTCCTGACTGCGCAAGATGTGGAATGCTTGTATCATATCGCCTCGTAGCTGGTTGTTCCCAAAGGAAATAGATTGGAACTCAATAATCCAGTTTCATTGAGTCGCGTATCCTGCCCAGTCACAGGTGTGGCTGCTTGCCCCCGAACTTTGACGCGAAAGCTGAAGTCCAGACCTGAATAGCGAACTTCACTTAGGTCGCACGAACTATCGAAAGATTTTAGCGAAGCAGAATTTTCCAAAGACAGAGAAAGTCCCATTGTCAAGGTACACGATCGACGTGATGGAAGTGGTTACTGTGGGGTAGTTCAGTGATGGTTTGAATGAAGTCGTAATCCGCGCACTCAAGTCCTTCTGTGCACCCACTTCTTGTGGTAGTATGCCATTCAGATAGTAATCTCCGCGGTTCGTAGATCTGATTCTACCGATTCATAAAATGCTACACCTCTTCATATAAAACGACAAAAAGAAGCCATTCGGCCATCGCTCGAGTCGCCTCGAGTTTGTCTGCAAACTCTCTTCGTCTAATTCAGTCTTGATGGCGATGAAAAGCTTTATATCATCAGCAAACATGCTGACATCAAAATCCAGTTCGTTGGCCCAGTCGATGACATATATGGTGAACAGAGTGAAGCCAAAAACGGTCTTGGGAAACATCAGGTCAATTACAACTTCCGCCGCCTTCTGGTAACCAAAATGAACCACTTGAGAGTGATATATTGAGAGGCTTCGAGCCCACTTCAGGAGGTTGTCCCTAACCCCTGCTTGGCTGAGTTTGTACAGGAGTTGTTCGTGTGGTGGGCCATTTAAAGCCTTCGTAAAGTTGAAACTATCCGCATGCGCAACATTCCGTCCGTCAATACTAACAGTAATAATATCTGTCTCATCGAGCACCTGTTTGGATACGATCAACATAACATAAGTAGGTTCTAACTGTGGTGGTTCTTCTTAAAAGACAAGCAGAAGGCAAATGTCAACCAATAAATGGTCACCATCGAAAAGATTCTGCTTAAAAATCGATGAAAAGGGGACAGTTCAACCGGCAATTTCAGATCTAGGGCTTAATTACCTCTTGACGGAGATTACATTAGCTGAGACCAGTTGGAAAAATTAGTGATTTTCGTGAAAACTTAAGTACACACGGACAAATGCTACAAAACCAATCTTTTTCAGGAAAGTTGTAGCCAGCAGTGATTATTTTAGAACCGAAGGCAGATTTTGAAACTAATTTGAAGGTTTCGCAAAGTTGGGCATCATCACTATATGGTGCGTTTGGAGGATTCTAGATGCAGCTAAAAATAGCCTTTCGTCGCTGCTTGAAAATAAACGGGATAAGGCAGAAATTTTCAGAGCATGAAGGACCATATGGGTTGTACGTCAAGTGCTTTATGGAAGATCTAACATAAAGAAGGCGATCACCACCGCACCTCCTTAAGGGGTCATGACGGTAGGCAGCAAAATAATCTATAAAATGACAACAATTTGGAATTAGAGCTATGCAAATAATACCTGGTGTCATTTTGACTTCAATACCGTCCCGCACCCTCTTCTCCTTACCAAAACCTCCGCGTGCGGCTCTCCAGGCTGGATCGTCTCTTGGCTTACCGATTATTTTACTTCCCGCACTCAATTTGTCCAATCTGGCAAACGGAAACCTACGATCCTCCCCAATGACTGTGGTGTTCTTCAAGGTTCCATTTTATTCCCTCACCTTTTCTCCCTCCACACTGACGATCTGAGGTCCCCTAATGACTGTCTTTTGGTCAAGTATGCTGATGATGTGGTAGTTGGACACCCTCTCAAAAGTCAGACATACCTCCGGTCTCTAAAGTATGGCCTAAACCATGTCCTAGCGTGGTCGGAGGAAAATGGTCTCCTAATTAACAACCAAAATCCGTTCAGTGTGTTTTTCGACTGCGGCCCTCTCCTTATCCTAAATCCTCTGACATTCTTCCTAACAAAGTATCCTCTTTCAGGTACCTCGGCGTTACTTTGTCCTCAAATCTTTCCTTTTCCCTCCATATTTAGTCCTTATTTATTAGAGTTCGTAAACTTCTTTATAACATACGTCGTTTACGTTCCTATCACACACCTCAACCCTTAGTCTGGCGATTCATCGATGCCTGCATCTTTCCTCTTATCCTATACTGCTTTCCTGTTATTTTTCCAGTTTTGCTAAAAAAGGATCTTTTAATTTTGAAACGAGTCCTCCGCATGCTGTCTTCTGCTGCTGGCGTTTCTTATCTTTTTTTAGTTGACATTATCTTACAACGACACTTCAATGCGGTCAAGCAATATGCTGGTCGAATTCTAGATGACGTTGCCCATCCTTTACATTCTTATCTTGTGTCTGCGAAGTCTTCCCGCCCGATGCGCCGTAGCCTCCGACTTATATCCTGTCGCACATCGGCTTATCGAGCTTCTGTGCTGCCATTCCTAGCGCGCTATCTTACGTACGAAGAGAAAGAAATACGGAAGCTAAGACTTGGACTCTCCTCATAATAATTGTTTCTTTAAGTCAAACTTTGACATTTGAATTATCTATTAACTTATTTACTGCCCATAGTGAATGGAGCCAAATTTTTTTGCTGAAAATTTTCAACTTACGATTTCAAGATAAAGCGACTTCCTCTCTCTCTCTCATTAGTGTAATATCGTGACTAAGGAAAAATTGTTTTTTTTCCAGATAGTTTAAGACATTTTCTTGGTGGGCGAAGATTGAATCAACCACGATTGTCGAAAAGACCTGATTAAAACGTGAACAGTTTTTACAGGATGGCAGACGACTGGTATTCGCTATTTTTTGATCAAGTCCACACGGGTGAAGGAAGTCGCATAAAAATCGAAATAATTAGCAATAATGGGAAGAAATTACAGCATCAAGTTAGTGTAGACATCGATTCCCACAGTCCACCGGTGGTATGGTTACAAAGTCACATAGTTCAGTTCCTGGTGTAGAATATGTCTGTCGGGTGGATATTTAAATGCCTCCACAGACTGAAACATTACAACCCTCCTAGGCAGGTTATTCCACGGTTCCGCGACACGGTTGGAGAAAATATATTTTCTCACATTCCATCTTCCTTGAAGAACACGTAGTTTAATGGGATGTCCTCGGAGGTTATTTGCAGCAGCGAGTTGGAAAGAGTCCTCACACCGGAGGGCACATTCTAACCCACGCACAATACGGGAAGTTTATCAAATTTCCTCGCAAATGCCTATAAATATGAAGATACAGATTAAGCTTATGTAGGTGGATCTCGTGTGGCAGTGCATCCTGATACCTTACTAACTTTGTGGCTCGTCTCTGCGCCTTGTCGAGTAGATTGCAATCCTGCTGCGTCCAGGCCTAGATCGCATATTGAAGGCGCGACCTTAAAAACGTGCCGAAGACTTTGGAGATGTATTGCTCATCAAAAGCTGGGAATGTCTGCCTGATGGCATATAGCACTGAAAACGCGGCGTTGGCCGCCTTACATCATTGTGTAGAAGGTTTTAGGATGTCTTCAATTCAAACTCCGAGACCTTCCAGTGTTTCTGTTTCTCCTAGGGACATTCTGTTTGGTGCTATTGTCGCGTATTAGGGGTCTGATTTCATCTGATTTATCATCTTTTGTCTTTGGGAAACGGTGATCGAAGGCATACTTTGAGCACTGTGCATGCGCATCGCTCCACTGAATCCAGAGTCCATTAAAGTTCCCCATGAGAACAACGTCCGGTCGATTTTCGATTTCCTTTATGCTTTCCAGCATAAAATTATTTACTTTGGGATCCGTCCGCGGGGGTCGGCAGATAGTTACGGCTTCGAGGAACTGCAGCCCCTGTGCCTTTATAGTCAACCCAATGGCCTCTGTATCATCGGCAGTCTTGGCGGTCTTCTCACACACTGGTAAGTTGCTCTTTGCATACATGACAACTCCTTCACCCTGGTGGACCCTCCTGTTTCGCCTAAATAATTGGTATCCTGGTAGTGCCACCTCGCATACACGACTTTCGGTGACAGCCATGTTTTTGTTATTACTATAACATCCGGAGGCGTATCAGCTACCCGCACTTTCAGTTCCTCGACTTTGGAAAGCAGACTCTGAGCAGTGGTGTAAATAAATTTAAGTTTGCAACATTCGACAGTGCTTAGTTCGGTTTGTCTCGAGTTTGAAAATGTTATTTTACTGTCGCCATCATGATCAATGGCTGGTTCCGGAGCAACACCGCGTTGCTCTGCATCACTCCTCCCCTGAAAATTGCCAAGTTGCTCTC